CGATTTATTGGGCTTTAAGGGATTATAGGCTTTTTGACGTAGAATATTATACCTGATACATAAAACTGTTACATTGTATTACAATTTTATCTCAAGTATACGACGAAGATAGCTTCTTTCCGTGTATTTTTTCAGCATTATGTTACCTGACATGTCTTAGCATATAAGTCAAAATGTAACATTTAAGATTCTCATTTATTTAGTATTATAGTTTCCACTTTCTTATTTTATACTTAAAAATAATCATATTTGTATTGAATGTACTACAGACCCTTCGTTGACTTTTCGTTCATAATTTTTCATAAACTAGATTTTTACAGACACCGATAAATACGAATATTCTGCCTATGAAAACAATGTCTGATGCTAAAATTCAGTTCATATTATTTATGTATACGTCTTCTTTGCATACATCCTCTATCTCTGTTGGCTTGAAGTTCTCGTCGTCACGGTTTTGAGGAATCCCCTTACTAAGGGGGGGTTAGAATTTTGTACTGCTATGCGCATAAGCATAAGCAGGATGATTAATGACGCTGAGACGACATATTTATGCAAATATGGTTATGTTACGCCTAATTTGAGCAGTCTTCCTCTTCCCAACTTATTCTTCATATCCCCTTCTATTCTTCTTTTCCTGTAGAGATTTTACCCAACCAAAGGCAAAACCTTGGGATATCCATATTAATGTGAACCATATTTTATCTTATTTAATTCATATGGAAATGATATTGAATTAGTCAAAACAGGAGACAGAACGGAGAGTCCGTTATCTCAGAGCAGAGAACGGAGTTGTGTGTTCATAAGTTCAAACGATGTTGCAAAGAACAGACATAACATTGTTAATTTTAATTTATGAGACAAAAGCCGACTGATTCAACTACAATTGATATTAAGTAAGCGAAATTTTTGAAGCAGAGTACTTATTGAGAATCTGATAGTAGCTCAGATTTAGAAATCGAAATGTTGATTACGGTGAACACAAGAATGCACCACAGTCCAGAATCGCATAAATGTAATTTATATATTTTTTAATATTATCCCCCGATCTACGACTTAGTGTAACGGGTCCATTTGAGTAGGAAGCTTTGTATTCTGATACCTGTTGACGAAGACACAGCTTACGAAACGTCTGTTTTGAAAAAAGACGAACAATGTCCAAAGAGTAATAACCTCTTATGGTCTTCTCGCACAGCTAGTTACCAAGTTTCTCACCCATATAAAACAACGGACATTCAAGATTCAAACTATTATTATTAACCTGTGTTTTGGTGTGTTATCAGTAATCAGATCAGCTGGTTCGATGTTTGTAACTGGTATTTACGTTATTTTAATCTATGCTGCCACATCTTCACTATTTTAAATTCCCTATAATTGAAAACACTAACATGGCATCTGTGCGCACTTCTACGTTCAGTGCATCTCAGTCTAGCAGTATTTAGTGAGGTTTAAGGTTCTAACGACGGCGAATATGAAGACCACTGTCTTCTACGAAGTTGCGCCATGTTGGCCCGTAGAAATTGGCGGACGTTTCGGCGATGTTTACTACCTCTGTCATAAAAGTTTTAACGGTGACAGGTTTTTAAGTAATATTCATCATTTGTCAAGGCGATATCAGTATAACTTAAGAAAAACATGGCAATTGTATTTATTTTATTACGTGATTGTGTCCATCTTTTAGTAGTTACAGTATAAAAAATCAATTTAGAGAATCATGCATTTTGTCTAAAATATTTACTTTCGTAACGAAATATAATCCCAAATTAAAAAGCTATGATTATGTTTGATTATGTTACAGCATTGAATGTTACAGATGTTTTCGTCATCGAATTTTGAAGGATGTATTCGTGGTCTGTTTGAAGGTCACGGGACTTTTCAGTCAGGATAAATTGTGTTTTAAGTTTTAAACTTTCAAACTGACTAGAAATGATCGAACCTTCTCCAAAAGTGTCCAACGTTTCTGATATTACACTGTATAGATCAAAATGGTCATGACCCCTTGTGATCGCCTAACATAAGTTATGATTGCTTTTAACGTGACCGGGATTCGAACAGGATCCCTCCTCCCCTCGAAAACGAGTCTTAAACTTTGCCACAACACAATTCCTCCCAGTTATACTGAAGTCAAGGGTCACGTATGATGAATCTTACGGTTACGGTGTCAAGAATGTGACTTGTTTCAGAGAGATTAATAATGGCATCATTCATGTATTCTCAAAGCGCATCTGGATGCATGCGACTTGAACCTCGCTCTGCCCCCGCACCCCATAAAACGAACCCCCTCACTTCCTTTCCGTACAACTAATTTGTTGATCGTCATAACCTCATTACGTTTCAACTGTGTTCCGGCTTTTTGTATGGCCGGAGTGAGTGGAGCAAAACGTCACACTTGGCCGATGTGCTGTTAGGGGGTGGCAGCAGAATAGTGTAGTTTAGTTCTGGTGTTATATTTGTAGGGGTTGAATAGAATCTTCTTCAAGAGTACATAACTACTATGACCATTACATATGTATTTTTAAATGCCTTTCTTTTTAACCAGCTGTTGTTTCTACCCCTTAAATCGCAATAGTAAACTACATGTCTCACCTTCTTCAACAATAAACAAATCTGCATTTTTGTTACGTATGATTCTTAGTGTAAAATATTATTATTTCTCTGCATACCGTTAGAAAACATCTTTGTAATGGTTAAGCGTGTTACGGATTTAATAATTGAATATTATTTAGGAGAACGTCGGCCTTAAAGGGTTAAAAGAATTGCCAGGGTGTCCTAACACTCAGATAATCACCGAGGGTGACCCCTAAGGACAATGACCCCACTCCAGCAGGATAATCATATTAATATCAACGGATAAACAATATGTTTTATCATGCAAGGTCACCATGCATAAATTGCCATTAATGTTTTACATTATATTTATAGAGAGTCCATTTTATATATATATAATAGTCCCATAAAGTGGTCTGCGGTGTCTCGTCGTTTTTCACAGTTCCTTAGTCAAAAGATTGAAATAGTAGTGTCCGTTCACCGCCACAGTGGTTTAGCGGTCAGAACGCTGGGGTTGTAATCCTGGGGTCCCGGGTTCATAACTTGTGTTGGGCACAGAGTTTTCCTCCGGGGCTTCCCCGGTTTCTCCGTGGCATCCCAACAATTACTCTATTTTCATCATCATTAGATACTAAGCACACAGAAGAAGGCAACGGCAAACCACTTATGGATCATTTGCCTAGGAAACATATGAACAGGTCCCTATCAGAGGGAACTTGTTCATAAAGTCACCAGGGGTCCTTTCAGACCCTTATATTCGTTAAATTATCATACTACCATAAGGACACTAGGTAACTACAGTATTTGCAAAAGAATGGTTAAACGGACCAACAATCTGCCAGTGAACATAGCCTGTAGGTCTATAAATATTCAATCATCCACGTATT